CAAAAGTTTAAAAGTTCAATTTGCTTTTTATTTCACGAAAAAAACCCGGATAACAGTGTTAAAAAATTCGTTATTTTACAAACAGAACCGAAAAACACTCCATGATGTTTTGCAAATCCTAATGTAATATCAAAGATTTTATCCAATGATTTTCAAACGATTTCTTGTTCGATTGTAAGTCTTTCCCAACACTAATCAAATTTAGTTTAGGCAGTCAGCTTAGACAGTTTAGTCAGTTACCTAAATCTTAATCAAAATTATAACAAAATTCTCGAACGTGATTGGTTATCACCAGCCTGATTTGAGCATTAATTGGACAGTGTGCGCGTCACGCTTGTAATTGGACAGTGTAATAGGACAGTTAAAGGGACAGTTAACACGTCATGCCTGTGTAAGTGGACAGAACGCGTCATGTGCACGCGCTGTTGTCTTGCATGTCGCCGACTCAACGGTAGTTTTCGTCTAATGAAAACGTATAACCGATGTCTAGCCGATGTTTCTTTCATAAATTTTGTCATCATTTTGATTAATTGGCAACGGGACTTTGTGTCGTCCAATTCTGTCTGTAATCAAACTCGTGATTTTGTTAATTTCACTCGTGTGATTACAAACCGAATTGGACTCCCCTCGGTCCTATTACCATTGTTAATTATACTGACCCGCCTTAGACTAGTTATGGCTATTACGGAGCAGCCAATCTATTGGTGTAAATAATAGAGTGTAAAGTGTACCTTTGATAGCACAAGATCTTGATCTTTTGCTTTCGTTTTACTTCCATCATCAACAACATCTCTGGTGTAAATCGCAAAGCAAGGTACGCGACCATAGAGAAGCTCACAAACTAGTTGAAAACAGTGAAAAGGGTACCATTTGTTGGCAAGAGTTGTGGCAAGATAGCGGCGAGCAAGAGTCCGTGTGTATAGCGTGCCAATCAACCTGACGTCCATATCCTTAGAAAAATGAAACACAATCGAATAATGGGGGTAAGTTTCTGAAGAAAATGTGGTGCTGCGTCGGTGGGAGGGTATAACAGGGTAATTTATTATTATCGACTGAGTTGATAACGTAAAGTGGCCACCGTAAATAGTTTGAAGGCTGACGTTTTGAGCGTTAGCCCCTCTACAGAGCGATTCAAGGGTTAGTCCTTCGTCAGAGGGGGTCGGGGTCGCTCTACTTAATTCGAACTAAAAATTTCACATTCTGCCAAACGATAGGTACTTATAGAACGCTTTTAAACCGACCATCTAGAAGCAAAACCAAAGAGATCGCAACAGCCAATCAGAACCAACAACAAAAAGTATAACAAATGAGGTCACAGCAAAAACATTTGAACATCCTGAAAGGCGGGTAAACGCTAAACACCAGATCGCGTTTGGCTTCAACTCTGTATTTGATTGCTCGAGGAAGTGGAGCAGCTTTTTCCGGGCCAATCACAGAGAATAAAACCAAGGCAATCCCGAATTACTTTACACACTCAATTCAAAACGGCACTATACCGCGACAAACCAACTAGAGCTCAACATTGCAAACTTTGCTGAAGGCGTCAAAAGATCGAGGGCAAACTAGAAAACGCATTTGATTTTGGTCTATTTGCACCTGAATGGCTCAGAGAGCAGCAAGTTTTACAGCTCTGTTAAAGAAGTATTTTGAGCCAAAAGCAATTTAGATAAAGCAAACCAAGCAAAAGGAGGAATTTTGTTTTGAAAATGTTTTGAACACTGTTTAAAATAGCATTATCAGGGCATCTGTGGTAAGCGTCAATGAACTAATACCGCATTCACACCAAAGTTAAAACACGTTTTAAAGCTGTTTTGTCAAACACGGTTTGAAAACGTTTTGATTCCTTGAGCCCTGTGTCCCATTTAGTCCTTCAGTTTTCTGTTGCTAATTTTTTATTCAGTTAAAGCTGGTTAACTAAACATGTTCTTCTAGTGTGAATGGGGCATAGGATTGTTTTGGATGCTGTAAAGCTGTGATTGACCTCTAACGCCACGTGCCTTAATAATCGTTATGACACGAGGAGGCGTAGACTGAAACGCTAAAGCTGTCAGTGTCTTCCTTATAAATTAAAGAAAGGCAATAAAAGAGATACCATTTCAGGAATAGAGTCGAATAAATATCTTCTATCCACAGCCGGCTGACTAACGTTGGATAACCACTCTAGTACAAGTTTTGCCTGGAAATGATAGAGAAGAAAACTTATATATCTAATTTTACATATAGCCTAGACTCATGTCGCAGCTTCTAATATTGAGAGTACAAAAAAACACAGCTTTTTCCTTGACAACCACAACCGCCTCGTCCACTTACTTGCCATGTTTCGCGCGCTAATCTTTTCGCTCTCTTCACTAACAAAGAGCCTAGATTATGCTAATTACGTTTCCGAGGCAGCAAAAAAGACAGCTCCGTTCAATCATCAATGTGAATACTACGTTCACAATCACTCTGTAAAGGTATGACTCACTATTATCGGTCCGTGGTAGTCCAGCCTGATGTAAGTTGAATGAGAACTTGAACAACTCTCGACTGCAGACCAGCTCAGACTGCGGAAAGCTGTGAGCGTTGGGAAGCCTGTGACGCCATACCGCTGACACGTTAGAGGGTCTGTTGAACAGTTGTGTACAAACACAGACGCCCCTGGAACGAAAAGAAGTGCAAGTTATGTAGCTTACTAAAAAGTAGCAGTAACCCACTAAGACTAGTTCAAAGTGATCGATTTTTGCATCACAACCAAATCCCGCTTTCATTACTCAAAGCTGCACTTGAAGCATGCTGTACAACATCTTGTTTTCTTATCTAAGTTTTAAAAACCGTGTAATTCTACATATACTATCCCGAAGTGCTTTTAACTGAATTTCGTAAAACCGAACCTAAGTAATCATACAAGCCAATCAGAAGAAAGGAAAATACCTCTATGAGCCAATGAGAACTCAAAGAAAATCCGACTTGCCTCAAGCGCGGGAAAACGCGGGCGACCAAGTCGTGATTGGTCTTAGTTTTGCATCTGATTGGTTGATTGAGTGTAGCGAGTTTTCTACACGAATCACAGCGCGAAGTAAGGCAAAAACAGAGCAATGCCGGATTACTTTCCACACTCAGTTGAAAATTGCTCTAATGCTATAACACATACCTAAATACTTGGCGTCCGATGATATTCGTTCAATTGTTGGTAAAACCTGATTGCAGTAGCTGCAGCCCTCTTGAAGAAACACAATCTATATGAAATCCACAGAAGAACTAATTATTCCTTACGAAGACAAAACTCAGTTTTCTTATTCCGCTTAAATAATTAAATTATTGTTTCCTAACATCAAAGTCAGTCACTTTGTATTTTCATACTTAGTCTGTTGAGCGAAGTAAGAGGTGACAATGGCGGGTAAAAGCGCGCGAAAAGTTTTGCGCGGTTAAACACGCGTCAAGTTTCGTTAGTTGTTTCCGTGTAGGATATCAGAGGTCTGGAGGAGTAAATTAACAGTTTCATTAAAATAAAGGGCTACATGTATTCTACATGTATGTTACACTGGTTAAATGTCTGATGACTCACCAAAGATACAGAAAACAGACGAGAAGTTTGCATGGTTGGAAAAGCTGCGGTAGTGTACGACTTGACTGGACCAACGGATTGCTCAACCAGAGAAGACCAGGTTTTATCATTCACGTAATGAAACTGAAGCTTTTTCTGTTGTTTCTTCTGAACTTGAGCCTATGAAACACGTTCAAAGATCTGATTTCAGTAGTCATGCAAAGGGCTGCAGAAGGTGCTGTGACCAAACAAACAGAGCGTTTTTGCAATGACCAATCAAAGTGAAAAGCGTTGTTATAATGACCAATCAAAGTGAAGAGATATATCACGAAGAACCAATCAGAGCATAGAACAAATACACGTTACAGGTCTGAAGCGCGGGAAAACGCGTGTGACCAAGTCGTGACTGGTTGTTTCTGATCGGCTGAGATGATGCAGCCATGGTTCAGCTGCTTACATCAATAACACCGTAACAGCTAATTCTAATGGTATTCATGCGGGTGAAATCGTTGAAGAACGACACAACCTAAGTGAAAACTTACCAAATCAAAATTACTCCAAAAGAATGGGGTACAACAACTTCTTCATGGGCTAATTTGGGAGGTACAGGTAGGTGATAGCACATAAAGTGTCCAAGATAGAAGTAGCGTTATTTTAGTTTGCGACACAATCCTTAGTAGGAAACTGCACGACAAGCATTATCAGACCAAGATTAGAAAGGAGGAGAACAATTTAGTTATAACAATGATAATGATCACCTTTGTCTGCCAGGAAGGTGGAGGTAAAGGAGGTCCAAACATAACGTTATTGTGCTCAAAATCTGTAACAGTGCTGTTATCTCCTTCGACACACTTGTCTTCTGATATATCAAGGTTGCACACTTTCTGGAAAATACGTTTTCAATGACATTCGGATTCAATGATAGTTGACCCAGAATATCAGTTGTGAATGAATCCCTATCCAACATCCCTGGATCTTCCCCTGAATATGCCTTCATGAGATTTTCATGTCTCACTTACGATTTTATTATGCTAAACATGGAATGGCCACCATGCACGCCTCTGGTAGTTTATTTAGAATATCAAAAGCCACTTCTCTTTGAGTTATCAAGTTTGATCCCAAAAAAAAACAACTTATTTTCCATATTAAAAATCTAACACAAACATACCACAAAAGAATAATCTAATTTGAACAGCCACTGCCAAACTGCTAAACTATCTCCAATGAACGTCATGCAAACCTTTCACAGATTTAGTCTCTTAACCCTTAAACCCCTAAGAGTGACCAGCTTCTAATTTCTCCATACAATATCACCCCTGAATCACACATTAAGGTCACAAGAATCAAGGAAATGACACTAACTTTTTAAGCTACAGATTTTTAGACAAATTCTCCTTGTCAGCACTTCAGAAAATGTAAAGAGAACAGTATGGAGAATATGCATACTGATGTTAGGGTGTAAAGGGTTAATATATAGAAACACATAATTTAGAAACAATTGTGTTATTAACCTTAGCGTCATCACTTTCCTTCCATGGATTAAAGACTTCATCAACATCATCATCATCATCATCTGGCGCGGTGGGAAGCACAACAACTGGCAATGTTTGCAGAAATTCATAAAGAAGTAGTGGAGTGGGCACATCTTTGTCATATAATTGTTGTTTAATTATAAACCCTGTTGAAAAAATACATTTTGATAACCAAGTTAAAAATATTACATTTAGGCACATTACACAATGTCTTCTAAGCACTGTGAAAAGTTATTCATATGCAGCATTATACAAAAGAAATATGGTCTCATTTAAAGTGCAAAACTAAAGACAACAACAAGCAACAGGGAATGAGAAGATGTTATTTAAAACTTACTCTGTGAAGTTGATTCTCTTTCCTGCCAGAAAACGACGGTAAAAGGGACAGCGTACACATCTGATGCAATCACATATCTTGCTATCACTGGATAATATGACAATAAAATTTTACAATTCCAAGATTTGCAATAAATTAATTAACCCCTATTATTACTTTTGATTAGTTCATCAGTGCATGCAAAAAGGCCAAAGAAAAGTCACTTAGGACAACTGAACAACATATATAAATTTTACATTAGACATGTATGAATATACATTCCATTAGTTTACAGTTCATATCAAGATAACAAAGAAGGTTTGAATTCCTAACATAAGGCTGTATTTGATATCTGTTAGTTTAACCCTTTAACTCTCAGAAGTGATTTACATGTAACTTCTCCCTATAATATTCATTCATTATACAGCAAACAGGTAATGAGATACTCAAAGATATCAGGCAGAGCCAGAGGTTGTTCTCTTGATCTAACACCAAATTCTTGCAACTAATTTAAAAGGGAATGTGTAACAGCTAGAAGGAAGAATTAACAATCAGATCTTGGGATTTAAAGGATTAATCAATTAGAGTTTACTGATACACTCAAAACTCTCTTCAATCTTTGAATCTCAAGATGTGATCTGTGACTCTCTTTTCTGGCTGCTACACACATCCTTTTAAGCAAGGGAGGAGAATTTGGAATTGCATCAAGATAATAGCCTTTTGCTGATAAAATTGTCTCTTCTTGTCACCTGTTTACAAGATATTGTTTCGATATTATAAGGAGAAGTTATATGTCAACAACTTCTGGGTGTTGTTGGTGAAAGACGGGATATAGAACTCTCCCTTCAACCAAAAAGGGGAATGTTTCTAAGAAGGAGAGGTTACATTTCATCACAGAAGTTATGATCACTTATGGGTGTGGGATCATCAACATTACTTATTTTGTAACCATATATTTGCAAATTACATTAATTACCTTCTGGGTAACTCATGATGTTGAGCATTGCAAATCGCACTTGGAGTTTCATTCTTGTGAGTGTGTCATATGATCGATGGAAAGCATCCAAGTAATTAAGGGTTCGTGGACTTCTTGGAGAATAAAAACACACCACTATGGGCAGCTGTGGATGTTTTGTCTCCAACACTTCATCAAAGAAATTATCCTATCAAAGTAACACCATTACAAAGATTATATTATAAATCTCAGCATAAGCTAGTCTGTGGTTCAAACACTGTACTGTTTTCTGGCTTTAAGAAACTGACGAAGGAGTTTATTTCCTAATTATTAGTCTAAAAACTAATCATAAGAACAACAGAGAGAGATTGTATTGACTTGTAGACTGAATCAAGAAGGCTCTCAAGAGAGAGAGGGGGGGAAGGGGCTAAGAAGGAGACAAGGAAGAGGGGAGGGGGTAGGGGAGAAGGTGGTTTATTTCAAGCCAGTTCTTTCTGTCTGCCAAGCCCTCCTCCTAGAGAGAATAACATTCATATAGACTTTTTGATCTCATACTGGGTCAAGAAGGTAAAAAAAGTGTGTTAAGAAACAATGACTGCACGCCTTATCTCTCAATAAATCTCCTGTTGTTTAATACTTAAGTAAGTAACTAAGCAAAGAGGGTAAGTTTCTTAAGAAACTGTGGTGATGCATTGGTGGAAGAGTGTAATAAGGTAATTTGGTATTATCAATTGAGTGGATAATGTAAAATGGCCATCATTAAGAGTTTCCTAGCTGACCTTTCAAGTGTTAGCCCTTTGCCAGAGCAAATGAAGGGCTAACACTTCAAATGTCAGCTTTGAATGTCTTAACTGTGGCCAATTTTTCATTGTCAACTCAGTTGATAATACCAAATTACTATATAACTGAGCATTACACATGTCATAGCATAGAAAAAAAAGTTCTTAAAAAAAAATTACAAACTGACCAGATTCAATTGGTAAGCTTGGCTGTGTAGGGTGACCAGCATTACTTGAAGTCTTTTCTCTTCTACTTCAAGAACACTTTGTAAAACTAATGAAGACTTTTCTTTTTCTTTCCACTCTAAGGAAAACATTAAAATAAAACAAACAAAATGAAGTCCTTTTTTTTCTTTAACAGTGTAACTTCTCTTCTTGATAAACCATAAACAGTGACATTCTTTGGATGGCTGTATATTAGTACCCATAGTGCAAAATCTACAAGGCAACAAGAAGATCAAATCTGTGGACCAACCTTGAGAGTTGAACACTACAATGGCAGGAACCTTGCTGATGTTGTATGCCTCAATCATATATCTGTCACCATGAATGAAGCACAAGTATTAGTGATATTCATCATTTTATAAAAATTTTACAAACTTGTAGTAATTATTAGCTACGCCATTTTGACAGATATATCTTTTAACTTTTACTTATCTTCTTTTTAATTGAAAAGGAATTAATATTTTAAGGAGATATGTCTTTTTGGTCACGACTAGGAGTGAAAAAACTTACTCCTCAACATCTGAGGATGGAATAACAACAAACACTTGTATCTTTTCCTCCCAAATCTTAGCCAACTGTAGAAAGAAAAAACATAAACATAGGTATGTTAACAGCTTACAATAATTAGAACTCCAACAACACATCATGAAAACTAGGTAATCATACCTAGTTATGGAAAGTCAGCTAGCTGAACTCCATCTTCCATGATGACAGAATCATTGATAAATAGTTATTAAATATTTAATATTCAATATTATTCTGACCTTTTTAAATGTGTTTTCTATTTGTTGGTGATAAAACTGACCAGGAATTCCCACTAAAGTGTAACCTTTATGACTACCAACTTCCTGAGATAGGTGATTTGTAGTGAATGGTGACAGTCTTTTGGAAAACATCCTCCTCTGTCGACCAAAAAATAATAATAAAACAGTTATTGGACATGTTATTGTCTTTTTGAAAATACACGTGAAGGAGTTTAAAATGATTTTAAGTTTAATTGAATCAACAATAGTTTGATTTCAGTTTTTCCTTGTTCAATGATTCCAAACATGTATCTTAAACAAAGGGTTCAATACAAATTTAACTATTTAAAGGCCCTTTTTCCCACAATAATAGTTTAAAATCCTATGACAAGCATTGTTTTTGAGTATGTTTGTCTTGAGTGTGTTTTGAATTCATGCTCTTTGAAAATTCATTTTTCTTACAGCCAACGAGTCGTCTACTTTAGAGATCCTGCAGTTAAAGGTTTACCTTGAACCTAAAATCATTAGATTTCAATTTCCTATATCTAAGATTAAAACACAAAAAGAACAATAAAAATCATGTCTTCCACCAAGGTAAACAGGGCAAGAAACCTTCTCTTCAACTCAGTTATCCTTTCAGACATGTGTGGCAATTATTTTAATTTTCAGGATCACAAGCTTACTTGTCCGAAAAACTTGACAACAACAACTACTACATGGCATTAGAAGCTACATTTGTATGGAAATTAATGGCTACACCATGTATAATAATATCAAATGTCATAGGAAGCAAAGTTATAAAATATGGAAAAAAGATTAGATTATTACATGTCCAAGTCAGATGATAGACAAGTTTAAGCTCATTTTTGCAGTAGTCTGTAGGACAAGGAAGATCATATCTTTCCTTGTCCAAATGGAAAAGATAACCATCTCGGTTGTTAAGAAGGCCTAAGTTTCCTGCCCACAAAAGATACACCCCCTTTCCCCACCTCTAGAAATAGTTCAACTCAAGGGCTTACACCCTGAACTTTATGACATGCCTTCTACTGCACCTACCAAAGTTTCAAACCATTTTCTCAATGAGCTGGTTGTTTTATGGGGTCTGTCAGGTGATGGGTAACTCAATGGTGAAGAAGCTGTTCCAATGAAGCACTGAAGAAGAGGAACCATACCTGGGTGGCCTTCCCATGATAACATTCCCTAAAGGAGCAAAAAAAAGATACATTTTATGAAGCAAACAGTGTGATTACATCTGAGCATTCTCCATGTTCCTTAATCCATTCAGAAATAAATAATTAATCAGGTAATCTGCTACATACCTTGTCAAGGTTGAATGCTACAGTGCTCCATTCTTTGTAAGGATTATCATGTGCTAAACTATTCAAAAACTCTAAAAAGCTTTGCTCAAGCTTGGATGGAGGAATTTCTGAAAGGAATATTAATAACAAGACTCACTGAGTTGTTCAAGAAAATATTTACAACCCTTTGACTTTTCAAGGCCCCAAGCTGTTGCAATTTTAGTTGCCGTGGTGAGAATACAAAAATTTTGGGCAGCTGTATGTGCATGGAAAGTCACCAGTTTTTTAACCTGTAACCCATCTCCTTGGTTGTACAAATATTAATTCGTGCAGAGCTAAACTTAAAAAAATGATTTATGGATCTACAATCTGCGCCACTTCCTTTTTTCTCTATTCTCGAGAGGAATCAAATTTTATTTTTGGCTACCATTTCATGATTTTAGGATACCAAATGGCAACTTTGAAAAAAGGTAGGTTTGGACTCCTGTTTTTTATCAATTTATCTATTTTTTATTTGTTTATTATTTATTTGCGGTTGTACTGATAGGAATATAAATTAATCCTGTAAGGAGTTAAGAATTGAAAAAAAAATACAAAAAACAAAAAACGTTTTATCTGGTACTTACTCGGATCTCTGTAAAAAACACAAAATGGCCATTCAGCTCCGGAATCTTTCAAACGATTTTCGAGTGCATCTTTGGAAGTCAACAACTCGCTAATATTCCTGGTCACACCGGAAAATCCTGAAGAAGATTTGATCAGAGAAAGTGATGTTCAACTGCAGTTTAACTAAGATTAGTTCATTAATGCCTGTGTAGAATCTTACCAAGGCAGAGATACCTCGTAAAAAGTACAAGGAAAATCCATGAAAAAAGGTTAAGTGATTGCATTATTGAAGTTTAACCGAACGTAGACAACGTAGCAACCGAGGAAGCCATCTTCGAACAAGAAGAAGATAGGAGGCTGGACACTAGAAATATCAAAATATTCCTTTCATGTAACTATCACTAACTGACAGCCACCAAAGATGGCTTTCCATCTTGTTTTGTCTGAAACATGAGCGACATGTTATTTGGTCCAAGGCAAGAATAACTGAATTATCTTGATCTTATATCAGTGGTTTTGAAGCCAGATGTTACAAATGTGTAGTTGTAACGACAAACACCGTGGCCTAAGGAACGTACTCTTAAATCGTTAAACTTGAATCTGGACAACTTCGCTTGCATATTTTTCTTCAGGTAAGTTTTTGATTGCTAGAAGCTATAAGCGCTGCTTCTTCATTGTTCAGCTGTGTATTGAGTGTACGAAAGATGTTAAGTTGCCCTAATTTAACTTAGTTTACCACTGTGCTCTAGGAATCATACTGGGGTGTACTTATATGGTAATAAATTATTTAATAATTGAAATATGCCCGCTGAAATGAAACCACATGTTTACGAGAATGACAAGGGCTATGAAATTAAGTGCTGTTCATTTTCCAAAGAAAACAGTGAAACAACGATTTAAGTGATACCCTTTGGTTAGGTGTAAACTACATGGAATAGCTGGTTTAGCGTACATCTATGTCGTGACACTGACAGGTGTTAATTGGACTTTGGATCACGTTTCGCTAGGTCACTGCGTTGTGTTCTTGGGCGAGAAACTTACTCACACATTGCCTTTATCCCCATGGGAGGTCGAGAGTTTCGAGCCTGTGACTGGACCAACAATCAGCGTCTTAAAATTACTAAGGAGAATGTGCTGCCTTTGTTATGACATAAGGATGATAAGCCATAGGCCCCCTCTCCTGTACCTTCTCTGTACTGGTTTGCTGGGAACGTTAAAGAACTCATGTGCTTCTTGCGAAGAGTAGGGAAATCACAGTAGTTCCAGGTGTTGTGGTCTAGCCTTGTGTTCAAAATTGGGGGGCACCCTATGAAATTTTTTTTAAGGAAGTGGCTTAATGCAGTCTGGCCAGATTCCTTGCAAAGTGTTGTAAAGCACATCAGAGAAAATTATTACAGATAATGTGCTATATAAAATGCCACATTATGAATAAATAGGCATTAGTGAAATGTCAGGAATTGCTCTGCGAAATCCTTGAGGTAACTGTGGGATAAAATTTAAATTCCTGTCCCTGAAAAGTAGCAGTATTTCTTGCCTTGGGCAGGATGGGTCATCTGGTTTAAAAATTGAACCTACTTATGATATGTATATAATATAGTTAAACATGTAGATGAAAAAAGTCATAAGTGACTTCTGACGGACAGCTTAATTCTCCTTCCAACTCGATGCCTATTTCTATACAGAACTTAAGGAGAATTTTATATGGCATGAAAAATTACTTGGAGTTCTATTCCACCCCTTCACTTGTAATACATGACTTTGTTTATTTATTTGTTATGAAACTCAGGTTAATGGGAATCTAGTTAACTTAAGGTTGGCCGCTGACAGTGATCAGAGATTGCACCATTCTCTTGACCCTTAAGAATGAATAGCACAGAATTTCCCCTTTCAATATCATGCCTGAATCACACATAAACCCTTAAACTCCTGAGGATAACTAGAATCAAATGTCTCAGTAATGTATCCTTGCTGAATCAAACATGACTATTAAAGAATTAATCCTAAACTTGAAAAGCTCTTGACTTTTAGAAAAAATTGTCATTGTCCTTGACATACAAAATGTATAGAGAACAATGAGGAGTATATATGTGCTGATGTTATAGCATATAGGGTTAAGTTGCATGGTTTTAATAACTTATTCCTCTTTCTTAACAGAATCCTTGGAAATGGTCATGGTGTTAAGGTCAGCAGATTACAAATCTGGAAAGTGCCAGTGTACTGGTCATCTATCTTGTTTGTTTGGGTACATGTACAGTACCAGCTGATAGATACATACTGAAAAAAAAATTGTGTATTTGCAACAAAATCAATCAACTACCATGTCCAGGGCTGCAATATTGTTACAGGAGCTTGAACGTCTCAGAAGAAATGGTTATTCTGAAAGTTTTTTGGTAATTGAAATATTAGTGTTTTATTAGCTTTTATCATGCATGTTTTTATTAAGGATGCAATTTTTTTCTATTACCTTTTTAAGTATTTTCCAAGGTTTGATCTATTTGGGAGAAAAAAAATTAATTGAAATTTGCTATATGTGCCAAGGTTGTTTTAAACAGTGTGGCATGTACCAAAGTATTGATGGATAGTCTTTTTAAAATTAAAAAAAATGTATGAAAACTGAAAATAAAATAATTCCCTATTTTACCAGGATTATCATTTGAATACTTATGTTGCATTTGTTACATATCAGTTCTACCCACTAAGAACTTCATTATAGGACAAAAATTAATTTGGAAAAAAATGGAATAGAATCAGATGTTTTAATATTTTTTTCCATAAGATGGTATTATAGGCAGCTGTGTCGTAAGGCAAAATCCAAACGTGAGAGCCTGCTTACAAGCTAAACAGAAATAGGTCTTATAGGCAGCAGACAGAGCTGTCACTGTTTGTGGTAAACCACTGGTAACCAGGTTATATTAACCCTTT